CGCGTTGCAAGCCCCTTTCGCCCATTCAAAAGTGCCCCCAAAGGAAGGCTTTGGGTACAAGTGATCTCCCCAGGGGAGCCTTTACGCAGCCCCACATGCAACGGGACCCTCCGGGTTCACTCTTTCATAGCAAGCCTAAATAAATCCCTAACCTGCAACTAAGACTGAAAATCCGGACCCGAGGAAACGCATTCCGAGCCCCTTTCACCCATCCAAAAGTGCCCCCAAAGGAAGGCTTTGGGTACAAGTGAACTCCCCAGGGGAGCCTTCACGCAGCCCCACATGCAACTGGACCCTCCGGGTTCACTCTTTCATAGCAAGCCTAAATATATCCCTGGCGGGCGTGGGATAAGACTGAAAAACCGGGCCCCTGAAAAAGCGTTGCGAGCCCCTTTCGCCCATCCAAAAGTGCCCCCAAAGGAAGGCTTTGGGTACAAGTGAACTCCCCAGGGCAGCCTTTAGGCAGCCCCACATGGAACTGGACCCTCCGAGTTCACTCATCCCGAGCAACCCGAAATATATCCCTGGCCGGCATCAGAGACGACTGAAAAATCGGGCCCCAGAAAATGCGTTGCGAGGCCCTTACACCCATCCAAAAGTGCCCGCAAAGGAAGGCTTTGGGTACAAGTGAACTCCCCAGGGGAGACTTTATGCAGCCCCACATGCAACTGGACCCTCCGGGTTCACTCTTTCACAACAAGCCTAAATATAGCCCTTATCGGCATGGGAGAAGACTGAAAATCTGGGCACCAGGAAACGCATTCCTAGCCCCTTTCACCCATCCAAAAATTCCCGCAAAGGAAGGATTTGGGTACAAGTGAACTCCCCAGGGGAGCCTTTACGCAGCCCCACATGCAACAGGATCCTCTGGGTTCTCTCTTTCTGAGCAACCCTAAATATATCCCTAGCTGGCATCGAAGACGACTAAAATCGCGCCCCAGAAAACGCGTTGCGAGCCCCTTTCACCCACCCAAAAGTGCCCCCAAAGGAAGGCTTTGGGTACAAGTGACCTCCCCAGGGGGGCCTTTACGCAGCCCCACATGCAACTGGACCCTCCGGGTTCGTTGTTTCCGAGCAAGCCTTAATATAGCCCTAGCCAGCATAGAAGACGACTGAAAAATCGGGCCCCAGGAAACGCGTTGCGAGCCCCTTTCGCCCATCCAGAAGTGCCCCCAAAGGAAGGCTTTGGGTACAAGTGAACTCCCCAGGAGAGCCTTTACACAGCCCCACATGCAACTGGACCCTCTGGTTTCGTTGTTTCCGAGCAAGCCTTTATATAGCCCTAGCCGGCATAGAAGACGTCTGAAAAATTGGGCCCCAGGAAACGCGTTGCGAGCCCTTTTCGCCCATCCAAAAGTGCCCCCAAAGGAAGGCTTTGGGTACAAGTGAACTCCCCAGGAGAGCCTTTACGCAGCCCCACATGCAACTGGACCCTCCGGGTTCATTGTTTCCGAGCAAGCCTTAATGTATCCCTAGCCGGCATAGAAGACGTCTGAAAAATTGGGCCCCAGGAAACGCGTTGCGAGCCCCTTTCGCCCATCCAAAAGTGCCCGCAAAGGAAGGCTTTGGGTACAAGTGAACTCTCCAGGGGAGCCTTTAGCCAGTCCTACCTTACCAGTCAGGCGTTTTTGTTAAATGCTCCAGGGAATTCTATACATATTGTACAAGTGTGACTTTTGCTTCAATATGTACATTACAGACCCTTCACTTCAGAATGAGAACTACCAAGAATTCACGAGCTTCTTCCTCTAAGCCCAGAATGCACGTTGATGTGTTTGCGTTCTGCTCTGCAAAATGGCATGGCAACTTTACAACAGCTACAGACTTCTGCGTAGTAGCTTTTTACTTATTGTCAATCCCAGCTAAGATGCTTGCTTTTCCCACCCAGCTAAGATGCTTGCTTTTCCCATGAGTCTTGTTTTCCCCATTATTTTTCCACTTCAAGAAAGACATTTGGTTATCTCTTTTCCTTTATCCGCATGTGACACTGCTACCTGTGTTTTTCTCAGATCTATTTCATGGCTGATCTTTGTCTCCACTTCCTCTGTTATAAATCCCTACATCTGTTAGATTTGGACTCCTGTTTTCAAACACCTTGGTAACTTTTTGCTTTTTGAGATGCTTCTACTTTCTTAAAGAAGAAAGACCTGGATGTACAAGTCAAGTATCTCCAAAGAAAGGAAGCATGCAGAATTCATGAGAAAAGCCACAAAGCAAATTGCCAGCTGATTCACAGCATACCTGATCATTTTGTTTTCCAAGATATTAAAAACACCACGGCTGTGCTGGCCAAGAGGAAATGTGGCAATTCCCTTCGGGCTTGGAGTACTTACGACACTCAAGATACTAATGCTTATCTGGTATCTTTTCAATATTGAGTACCTTGTGTTCTTTTGCCCAAGGTGAAGACAGGCAGTTTTGGAACCAACAGACTACACCTGGGTAGCCAGATAGCATACCATATAGGCATCCTTCTTCACTTCTATGAAATTCTGAAGTGGTTCACCTGGGAAATACAACAGCAGCATAGTTGTTAGACAGCCAGTCATGTGAAAGGCTTTGTTCAATTGACTGCTGCTTGTAAGCAATAATTACATCATGACAGAAAGTGACAGAGTGACATAATTTTTTAGTGCATAACTCCGGTCTGTATGTGAATAGCTGGATTAGTATGAATGGGAAAGAACCACTTAAGTAAATCTACACAGGAAATAAAGATAGATAGAATCATTTTTGTCTGTTCTTCTAAAAGCTGTCTATTAATTATGAAGCCACAGCACTGCTTCAAATGCTGGAATTGACACTGTTCCTGTAAATTGACACTGTTCCTTTCATTTCATTAGACCAACTATACAGAGTTGTATAGAGAAGACTATTCTTGTGAAGAAGAGTTGTATAGCATAGCCTAAGTACCCTAAATCTAAGCAGGTAAAATCATACCTAGTAAAGAACATGTCTTTCTTTCATGAGGTAAGTGTAAGAGCATTCCCAAAATTCCGTCCTGACTTGGGGAACAACAAACCAAAACTGTGCAAAAGAAATCATGAGCCACTGGGATGAGTGCTCTGGCAAGCAGACCCAGATTCTTCAGATTCTTTGCAGCAAATCTACCCAGGCTATCATTTGCACTTCCTATCTACTTCAGTGCAACCAACTTTTGATTTATCCTCGGAGTATTTCTCAAGTTTTTCAGTCCTTCCCCAGACCTCTCCCCTTCACACGGTCCATGAAGCCCACCTTCAGCCAGAGAGGAGGCATGGCCACCCTGAAGAAAGAAAATGAATGGGGACAGTCCCTGCCACCTCATCCTAGTACTACGTACTGGGACCAGGTTGCCATAGGCATCTGTCCCTGGAGTGGAGCAGGGTGGAGCATTAATCAGAAAGGAATTTGTCTCTATTGCCGAGAGCAAGCCACATTCCTCATGGATATCACAAGTCTTCTTTTCATTCCCTGTGGAGCTCTTGAAGCCCTCTGCTCAGGGAACCTCACTGCTGGAGACCCCTGTATGTTCTACAGGGACTCCTGGTACCTCAAGTGACCTGAGGCGTGGATTTCACAGCTCAACTGGAAGCTTGAGCGATGCATAAGCCTTAGGTATTGCAACCTGTTCCTTCCTTAGATCTCTCCTTACCTACGTATGGACAAGATTGTCAGGTGTTGTTTTTGAACCTTCCAGTACCCACTAATCACTGAATTGAAAAAGCCAATCTGCAAGCAAGGACTAGATTTCCAACAAAAAACGGAGAGAAGCACTGGAAAAGCTGTTGTGAACAATAGCCCCCTCTTGTGTGTTAAAGGAGCAGCAGGTCTGTGTCTGCATAGGCCTGAGCTTTGGAGCTTTACGCAAACTTGGTAAACTTGTGAGGAAAGCAACCAGTGCAAGTGGCTTCCCCAAGGGGCGACTGGACAGAAGCGAACGCCTGACAGTGGCTGCCCAAGCTGACGGCTTAGCTCTGGTCTGGATATATCATAAGCTTTGTTGTGCAGGGTAGAAGTGAATTTCCGTCATGAAAAACAGCCCGGTGCTGTATGATATCATGTTTATTTCATAAAGAAGCAAGGAGGGAGGAAAACTTGACTGTTTTCTAAGACTCTTGCACATCCTCAGCACATTGAGCACGTAGGTCCTAGCACTGCACTAGTAAGGGAAGACCTCAATCAGGAGCAGATTATTCTTGATTAATTTAAACTGGGTGAGCGGGAATCACACCAGACAAAGACGTCCTTTTCACCAACATAGTTTATTTTGCCTGTCACGGCTCTACACGAAGACAGTAAAAAGGTAACAAATAAGGCAATATTCCCTCCTTCCCCTTCCCTCTCCTCCCCTCCACTTCCTTCCCCGACTCTCTCCTCCCCTATACTCCCATACATTCCCCCCACACACACTCCCCTACACTCTCCTCACCTACACTCCCCTACACACACCTCCCCTACACACTGCTCCCCTACACTCCTCTACACTCTGCTCCCCTACCCTCTTCTTCACCCAGTTCCCCTACACTCCCCTACACTCTGCTCCCCTACCCTCTTCTTCACTCAGTTCCCCTACACTCCCCTACACTCTGCTCCCCTACCCTCTTCTTCACTCAGTTCCCCTACACTCTCCTACACTCTGCTCCCCTACCCTCCCCTACATTCTGCTCCCCTACCCTCTTCTTCACTCAGTTCCCCTACACTCCCCTACACACACCTCCCCTACCTTCCCCTTCACTCTGTTCCCCTACACTCCCCTTCCCTACACTCCCCTCCACTCTCCTCTCCTACACTCCCCTATACTCTCCTCCCCTACGCTCCCCTACACTCTCCTCACCAAACAATCCCCTCCCCTACACTACCCTACACTACCATACACTACCCTACACTCCACTACACTCTGCTCCCCTGCCCTCCCCTGCCCTCCCGTGCCCTCCCCTGCCCTCCCCAGAACTCCCCTGCCCTCCCCTGCCCTTCCCTCCCCTCCCATTCTCGTTTTTACCCTTCCCTCCCCTCCCTCCCGTTCTCTTCATTCCCTCCCCTTCCCTCCCGTCTTCTCCTTTCTTCTTCTCCTCTCTTCTCCTTTCTTTCACAAATTGCAATGGAGAACAGGGAGAAGCATCACTTCCAGTCACTTCCGTCGTTCTCGTAGCTTGTGTCACTGCCTGATTCGTGGCAATCCATCAGCAGTATCCAGAAGCGTTCCAGCTGCTGTGCTACTAGGTGAGCAGCAGTCTCCAAGGGGCAATCACGGACTTCTTGCTGTGGCTCGGACACGGCACTTTCAAGTCCACCCTGGCTTGGCCATGTCCTCTTGCTACGTCCCCACCTACATTACAGTTCTGCTTAGAAGCCGAAGCACGGTGCTGAAGTAGTTCCACTCCTTCCATTTGCAATGATTGAGTTTGTCTAGCCAAGTGGTTTCTGTCCATAGAACACAAGAAAGAGGTTTTGCTTAGAAACAACGCAAGGAGGACTTCTTTTCCACATGGGCAAGGAATAGTCACGCTTTTCTAATGGAGACTCTAGTGGAAGAGAGAATGACAGATCATTCCGAGAGCTTTGAAATATCCCTTGGGGATGCTTAGTGCAGAGGACCAGAGGAAAGCTGTCCAAAGGACACCAGAGAATCACTCTGAATTACTTCCTCACAGACACATGTCCTTACTATGTCTGATATGGCTTCATGTCTGATATGGCTTCAGCTGGTTTCAGGGTTCTTGTTCACCTAAAACCTAAATTCGGAGTTGTAAATGAAGATGGAAAGATTGACAAATGTATAAATCACTGATGGGGGAAAAAAAAAAAAGAAAAAAAAGTGCTTTGAGAACTTTGGCCATTAGCCCTGGAAAGCATCAAAGTACTGTCCTCTGAAGCAAATGCCTTCTTCTCTTGATACCTAAAGAGGTAAATCAATCCAATGTTGTAACATTAGAAAAGCAAACACTAAACACAAGCAAAGGAGAAGAACACAAGTAAGCAATTGCAATGCTTATGGGGCTATTGCAGGGTTAGGCAAAGAACTATTGTACCATGAAATCTTGGGATAGAAGAAATATTATGTGCATTTTTTACTGTTTCATTTGTTGAGCTAATTTAGAAGTGGATATAAAATTGTTTTCTTTTTTTTTTTTTTTTCCTCTTGAGTTCACTCCTTTTTATAGGATTTCATAATAGAATAGATATATACAAAAAAAAAAAAAAAAAAAAAAAAAAAAAGATTCCAAGCAGGTAATCATATTCACAATTATTTTTTCAATCCAGAAACAATAGCAAGGATGAGCTGAAAAGTATTTCTATGCCATTAGAGTGTCAAGGTGTGTCCCATACGTTAGTAACAGTCAGAGGATTCATTTTGGAGAACAAAAGATATCTTGAAAGAAGTAAAGACAGAAGTAAATATGTATGCATGTACATCTCTCTCTCTCTACAGAAACCTAAGAAACTCGTATGCAGGTTAGCTTCTTGTGCTCTCTTCTCAAAGTTCTAGTGAATACAGCATCAGTGTGTGTTCCAAACATTACCCTCAGTCCAGCACGGATACACACGAGAGGTCAGTCTGCAGGTTGCGCAGGCCAAGAAACTGCTCTGGCTTGATGGGAAGAGCCAAGGCAGAAGTTGCTGTCAGAGAAAAGATGCTGTCAAAGCGTGTCACGTCCATGCTAGAGCCTCTCTCCCACCATCTAGCTCTACTGCATCTAGATGCATCTATACTAGAGCGTCGCTACTTAGCCAGTCTGGGGGATCTTAGGAGCCTTCTGAAGACCCAGAGGAGGGGCTCTTTGTCCTTTCTGTTTTAACAGCCAGTGAAAACTCTTAGCGTTTGACACAGAGTGGCTGAAAAACACAAAGTGGACTTGCAATCTTCACAGCTTCGAAGCAAGTGGAGATTGTGGAGGTTGTGGAGTAACCAAGGAAACTGTTGATCTAGAAGCAGCCTACAGATTGTGTTTAGCCAGGGTCTTGTATTGCCCTTCTGGCTGATCTGCCAGCAATTCAAGAAAGTCTCCCTGGCAAGCCAGCCCTGGAGTCACCCAAAACTTGGTGAAACCCATGAGATTAGAAAGGAGACAGTTGCACTCCATAAACTGCAGGTTTCTGTGCTTTTTGATTGCTTGCTTGCTTGCTTGTTTTCCAGGCTGAATTGGATTAGCTGGACAAGTTGGCAGCTGCCTACAGACAAATACCTTATCAGGAGTCTAAACTACGGGATTGCTCTAACTGAGAACAATGAATTGGACTTGACGTTCTTAGGAAGTCTTTCCAGCTACGCTTTCTACCACTACAGAAATGCACCTGATTCTTTCACAAAGCTTACGGGTGCTGACTGCAAATAGTCCTCATCATTCTCCATTGCCTTCCTCATCTCCATTCTCTTTTGGTGAAGCTTTTCCGAGCAGAGATGAAGAGCAGCTCTAATACGCAGTCTGGGATTCTGCAAAGGAAAAGAAGAATCCTCCTGAAAACTCTTTGCAACCTCACCCACCATCCCCAAAGCAAAGAAGAGCAAAAGAACACCGCTTGATCACAGCAAGCA